GGGGGGGGACAGGCTTAACACTTCCAAAAAAAACTCACATACTTTTTTCTGCTTTTGGCGTTTTGGTACTCAGGTGTGAACAGGGGCCATTGAAAATCATGGAATTCCTTGTGTTGGGCGTTTTGAAGCGCTTTTTGTACTGCTCAAAAACACCTAGGTGTGAACCAGGCCTAATCTGTAAAACTTCCTTGCGCAGACAGACCCTTTGTGGCTTGTCACCATATGGTATATTTGGATTTCTGGCATATACCCCACTAGTGTTGTGAAGATAGTGCAGATATAAAACTTATACTGCTGCAGCAAAAACTGGGGAATGGATACTAGCAGGGCAGATGGCAGACTTACAGTCCAAGTCTGTGCATTGTAAATGATGGGCCAGAGAAGGGTGTACAAGGGAAGAAAGTGGAAATATGACATGATGTCTGCAGCAGACACACCTTTTACTTCCCTCAGGTGAATATTCTTTGTACAGAGCTGTGTACTCCTATATTGGGCTTTCAACTAAAAAAAAAACTAGGATCCCTTGTAGGGTTACTGCTGTGGAGGCACCCTTTATGTAGCTTGCTTCTTAAAGAGCACCCCACTTTTTATAAATTCTTTATTGAGTAGTGTACAGGTTATACAACCAGGTAAACAAAAGACAAAATGCTAAGGTGTTACACATAGCCAACATCGTGGCCGCAGCCAGGATCACAACCCACTGATATTCAAGACAGGTATCATATATGTAGTCAATAGACTACGCTCTATCAGGGAGGAGAGTATACAATAGTCCATTGGCAGTGCCATCCCCGCTGCAAGCCACTACAGTAAGTAGGCCATCATAAGTTGTAAGAGTAAATTTTCTAAGATAATTTTAACGTAATAAATTGGCATAGCTGTCGTCGCCCAGCGCTGATTGGCATAATACAAACGGGGGGGATGTAGGGTAGGAAGGAAGGGGGGAGCCAGAGGGGGCAGAGAGGATCCCAAGAAAAGGGGAAGAGAAAGATAGAAAAAGGAAAAGGCCTCTTTAGGAACCTCCCTCCAGTAGACTCGGGTATTCCTGAGGGGAGGAGAACTCATCCCATTCGGACCAGGTAGGGCGGAACCTAGCCCCCATCCCCCTGAGGGAACTGGTGAGGTCCTCCATCTGCCTAACATCACGGATCTTGCTAAACCAGAGCCGTATGGTAGGGGGAGAGACCTGTCTCCACAGGGCCGGGATACATGCCGCATTGACCAGGTGAACCACCACTGAACGCTTGTATCTCTTGAGAGGGCTCGGTTTATGATGTAGCAGACCCTGAAAACTTCTGCGTGATGGAGTGGACTTTGGTCCAGAACTCCTGGAGTGAGGGACAGGACCAAAAAATGTGAAGCATGCCCACAGAGGAGGAGCCGCATCTCCACAGCAGCTACTAGTGTCCGGATAGATCTTGTGCAACATTTGGGGAGTGCGATACCAGCGAGTAAGTATTTTGTACCCAGATTCCTGATATCGATTGCTAATAGAGAACTTCAAGGACAAAAGCAGGATTCTCGAACTCTCATTGGGGGTAAAAGTGGACCCCAAATCTCTTTCCCACTTGGCTAAGAAAGGTAAAGGGAGCTCCCCGTCCGGGGTTAAAACCATCTGATAACACAACGAAAGGGCTTTTGGCAGAACCCCCGAGGAGACGCATTCGCGCTCGAAGCTCATGAGAGGACGCGATAGTTCGAGGGGACGCGGCAGAGAGGAGAGAAAATGGGCAAGTTGAAAATGGCGCCAAGTTCCCAATGGAGCCATGATAGGATCCCTGCCCATCTCGGCACGCGAAGGCCAGTTGGGCCCCTGGAGAAAGTGCAAGGCTCTAAAACGTTCTTTGTTGCGCAGATGTGTGAATCCCGGGTCCTGCATCCCTGGGGAGAATTCTAGTGAGCCAATCACCGGTAGTAGCGGGGAGGGGTAGGGGAGTCTGGAGTCAAAGACTGACCTGGCAATCTTCCATGTCGGTCCCAGTGTTGGGTGGGAGCGAAGTGCTTGAGGAATCCTGTGGCACCACGGGAGAGTTTTGAGAGGTATTTGAGAGAAAGACTGTTCTAGAGACACCCACGGTTTCAGCTTGTCGTGTCGGCACCAATCTAGTATATGAGTCAAGTGGGCAGCCACGCAGTAAAAGTGAACATCGGGTAGAGCCAAACCTCCGGACCTCTTGGGTCTAGGGAGAATGGAGTGACGTAGCCTAGCTGGCTTTGAACCCCACACAAATCTCGTGATCAGGGATTGTACTGAGAGAAATCCTTTGGGGACTAAGATAAGTAAGGCCTGGATGGGATAAAACAGTCTCAGGAGGACATTTTGTTTAATTATATTACATCTGCCGATCCATGAAAACGCTAAACGGGACCACCCCGAGAGATCCTCTTTGATCTTCTGAAACAAGGGTGAGAAATTTAGAGGGTATGTGAGGGCCAAGCTGCGCGGGAGCTGAATGCCCAGATATTTTATGGAGGTCTGAGCCCACACAAATGGAAAATAACATTGGAGCCGTCGTACCTGGGAGCTAGGCATTGTAAGATTCAAGGCCTCTGATTTCTGGCCATTCACATGGAAATTCGATAAGTCCCCATATCTGGAGAGTTCACGGAGCAAGTTCGGGAGGGACATGTCTGGTGAAGTCAAGAAGAAAAGCAGATCAATAAGCGCCACCATGAGTCTGACCTCCCACCTCCAATCCCCCAATGTCCGGGTTCGCCCTAATCGACCGGAGCATGGGCTCCAAGCTGAGGACAAAGATCAGTGGGGAAAGCAGACATCCCTGTCGGGTACCGTTGGAGATCGAAAACTCCTGCGATATGGACCCATTAAGTTGGACCCTGGCCGACGGTGTGGAGTACAGGGACATCACCCAGGAAAGCATACGCGGACCTAGGCCCACATGTTCCAGGGTGATCCGTGGATAATAAAAAGGCAGTGGAAAATTATATTTTGCATTAAAAAGTGGGGTGGCCTTGAATCTCATACACTCGGCCCTGTGCAAAAGATCATTTTCTTATAAGAAGTCGGGGCTCAGCACTTAACATTTTGAAAATATTGATTAAGAAAAAGGAACAAATGGCTTCCTATGGGGTAGTTGTAGCATCTTGTAGTTATCATGCGGACATTGGCAGCTATAATAAATGTTGATTTTTACATAGATCAGTTTATAACCATACATAGTGTCATTGTGCATCTTGCTTGGCAAAGATTCTATTCATCAATCTTATGTCAGTTATCTTAAGTCTGTGACAAAGTTATGGACATTAACATATTTTCTTTTTTTTTATGTTTACAGAAGACAGAAATGGCATCTGCACCAAACCTAGTCGCAAACCGCAAATCTGGCCGTTTTAAGTGGGCCATTGAGTTTGGGAGCGGTGGAAGCAGGTACCATGCCTTACATTTACAGATGAAAGCTACTAATTGCTCTTTTATGCATATAGATTCTTCTTATGGAGCAGCGGAGTGAAACTCATTCAAAGTTAAATCTTCTTAGGCCACATAAATTGCTCCATTTGAATCCATTGTGACCGATTTCTATTATTTGTTTTATTATGTAAGGCTGTATTGCATTATTAGGCCTTATTCACACTGTCATGGGTTCAAGTGTTCAGACAGTGACAAGTGTCTATAAACAGACTGGTCTTATAGAATATAATGAGCCGAATGGATTAGTTTATGCTTTGCAGTTGAGGGGAGGGGGGCACTGCAGCATTAAATTGTATGTTGTGAGTTGATACTTTCCTGTATACTCTCTCTGCTGTACTGTATACGTTTTCAGCTATTCCTGTGGGCTACAAAACACTACCTGCTGCCTATGTTATGGAGAGGAGGAAGTGTACTGTAGTCCTGGTCTCCATAGATACAGTACAGTGTTGGAGTGTTGTCAACCTAGCACAGGAAGGGTTATTGGTAGGATCACTGGGTACAAATAGGGGGAAAAAAGCCTGAAAAAAAAGAAAACTAATGTAGCCACTAACTAATGCAGCCACTGTGTAAGGACTAGTAAGTTGCAATATATTAAGTTTTTTTTTTTTTCTGGGTTCTACATTCGCTTTAATACTTTGTGCAGAACAATTAGGCTAAGGACTTCTAAAACTGCTCTGACTTTGCTAGTCTGTATACCTATTCCGGGATCAGGGACTCTAGTATGAGCTATAGCTATTCATTTTTTACTATGATTTCCACTGGAGTGAATCCAGAGAGCAGTTTAACCCCAAGTGCAATGGCCAAAAAGCACATTGTTTTGAATAGTGGTCTTATAGTGGCCTGCAGCCCATAACACCTTTCCACATCAGCTGGACCTGCTGTGGGAAATATCCCAGCTCTTAGAGACATCCAGTGCCATAAGTTTCCACTTTTCAGAACACCACCTGTAGATAGAAATGTGCATAGCCTGAAAACTGGACTAATGCCGGCCATACACACAAGCATTTTCTAGCAACAACTTTGAAGCTTCTTTTGATGACACAAACCGTCACAGATAAAGGCAACGTACCACTAACAGTTTGAATTGCTACATGATTTTTGAAAATATTGTTGGTAGTAATTTGCTCTGATCAGTTCAGGTATTTTTTATTTCCTTGCAATTGAAAGTGATTTAATTGCTAGAAAATTGCAATGTTTATAACAATTATAAAGGATAACAGGAACCACATTTTACTTTGAGCTAGTTTGTCTATATGCATTTACTTTAGAGCTGCAGCTAACGATTATTTTCAAAATCGATTAGTTAGCCGATTATTGAGTTCGATTAATCGGTTAATCGGATAAAAAATAAAATACATTTTAAAAAATGGCTCCAGTGATGGGACTACTAGTTTGTATTGAGATTGTAGTCCATCACAGGAGCAAGCTTGGAGCGGTAGAAGTAAAAAAGGAAAAAAAAAGTGTGGTGTGCAATATAGTGAAATGAAAAGTGTAAAATTATATAGCAATGAATGCAGAATGGCACCGGCTATAGTGGAATACAACAAATCCGAGCAATAGTACATTATAGCTGGCGGTGTTCGGCATTGCGCTGTATAATGTACTATTGCTGGGATTTGTTGTACACCTCTATAGCTGGTGGTATTCCGCATTGCGTTGTATAATGTATTATTGCTGGGATTTGTAGTCCTCTATACAGCACAATGCAGAATACCACCAGCTATAGAGGGATGCAACAAATCTCAGCAATAGTACATTATACATACAGTGTATAATGTACTATTGCTGGGATTTGTAGTCCTCTGTATAATATACAGCACAATGTACCGTCGGGTATAGAGCAATACAAATCCCAGCAATACATTATAGAGCACCAGGTATGGGGGGGAGGGAGTGCAGGCTTACCTGAGCAGTCTTCCAAGCAACTTGCTTCTGAGATAGGGCCTGTCTATCGGCCATTGTCATCCCCCCACGCCTGCTCCTCCTCCTTACTTGTTCTCCCCGCGTCCCTGTGCCGATCGTGGATGTGGGAGGGCGGTGAGCGTGAGGCGGGGAAGAGGTGTGGCGTGTGGAGCGTGGGTGCTGGCGGGTCTGAGGTGGGAAGGAGGTACGGCGCACAGCGCGTGTGGAGCCGTGAACAGGGCCAACTAACCAGAAGCCGATTAATCGATGATTGAAAAAGTTGACAACTTTTTCAATAATCGATTATAATCGATTATGTCGATTAGTTGTTGCAGCCCTAA